ACTGCGAGCTGTGGAGGAAACCTGAGGTTGGATCTGTTATGAAATGTGTTGGATTTGGAAACGGATTCCAGGAGAAAGAATTGCCCTTTGAAAGCAGACACGTCCCGGGCCTTTTCACAGTCCACGCGGAGAGCTTTTTAACTGAAGCAGGAAGAACCCGCCGCTGGGGTAAGACGTGTTTTCCACAGCCCCACCCCGGACAGGGATCTCGCTCACCCCTGCTGGGAACTGGAACTATGAAATAAGTAGGAGCACTGCGTCTCCTCTCCAGCTACCTCCCCCCAGCCCCCACCCCGAGCTCACAGAATGGATACCTGGCCCACAAAAGAGCCCAGGGCATCAGGTAAGAGTTTGGCCACTGCCAAAGTCTGAACCACCTCCAGAAGTGCCTTAGAGGAAGGGCTTGGCCGGCCGGCCACTTCTGGAAGAGCTCAGCCCTGGAAACCTAATTTGACCTAGTTCTGCTCTGAGTCACACAGGCTGCTGGGAGGGGGACAGGCTGGACATGGGGTTTGTGCTACACCGGATACGCTCAGCAAGGACGAGGAGCCCTGGTGGTGCGGTGGTTACGCGCTGGGCTGCTCACTGCAAGGTCAGCAGTTTGAAACCACCAATAGCCCCTTGAGGGAAAGATGAGGCTTTCTACTCCTATAAGGAGTTACCATCTTGGAAACCCACAGGGGCAGTTCCACCCTGTCCTATAGGGTGGCCCCGAGTCAGAGTGGACTGGCTGGGAGTGATCTCAGGTGGACTTTGGAAGATGTAAATCCTCCATTGAGGAACGTACACAAACAGTTCCGTTTTGTTTGTGAGAATTGTTTTTCAGGCTTGTGTCTGACTGGGAGGCGGGGAGGGGGGGTTGATGCCACGGCTCCTGGCTCTGGATGAAAAACTTCACCCCAGACTCACTGCCCTCCAGTTGACACCGACTCAGTGACGCTACAGGACAGGGTAGACCGGTTTCCACGACTGTGACTCTTGACAAGAACACAGTCTCATCTTTGGCCCCTGGAGCAACTGGCGGTTTCAAATGGCTGACCATTGTTGGAAACCTTCTTTCTTGATTCCTCTTCCAGAACACGGGTCTCGCACAGAACTGGTCGTTCTGTGATGCTCGAGCTTCATTCAGCCTGATGTCTCTCTCCCACAGTCCCCGCGTCACAAGGCGTCTGCCAGCTTTGTCATTGTTCTTGGGTGAGTCCACTGTAGCTCAGTGGCCTGAAAGATGGACTTCAGACCATGAGTGACCAGGTCCCCAGAAAGGAGGTGCTTGGATGGGACACCCCATCCCTGTAGTTTGCGGGGCGAGGCCTCAATCCCACAGGTTCCCTTGTGTTTCTCCTCTCCTTCAGAGGCTGACACTTCGCCCTCTCACCTGTCCCTACCCCCACCCCAGGTAAAAACCAAGCAGAACAAGTAAGGCCAGCTTTCGGGACCTGACAGAGACACAGTGGGAAGGTCAGTGTGGAGCCCTGGCTGGGATCCTATATTCAGGCTAGGCCCAGTGAAAGCCTGGGAGAAGTGGGTGAATGGTGCCCAGTGTGGAAAACAGAAGGATTTCTCTCAAGCTGTCTCCCCCAAATATATGCCAGACTTAGCTGCTTGAGAATGACTGTACACTTGGAGGTCATCAGGAGTGGATTGGGGGTCATTCTCCCTAAGAGCTATCAGCTGTCTAGACCAAGCGGACACCACTGTTTATCCCACAACAAGTAGGGCCCAGTCCCTTCTGATAAGGATAGTAGTTGTCTGTTTCCTTGTAGGAGACCCCAGAGAGGTCAAACCCGCCCAAGGATGACCAAGGTTAGGCTGCCATCATGAATCTAGGGTCCGCCCATCTTGTCACATGTATACCCCTAGACCTTCCCATTCCTATGGGCACACCCCTAGCTCATCCCTTCCTGTCACGCTTATGCCTATCATAGATCCCCTTCCTACAATGGGTATGCCTATTGTACTGCCCCTTCCTGTGACGTGTGATTCTGTAATCATGTCCCCCTAAAGTGATATAATGCTTGGTTAGCAATAAAGAAAGGCTCTCCCCAGCTCTGGGGCTGAAAGCTCTCTCCGGCTCCGGGGGCCTGGGAGCTTTCTCCAGCTCTTGGGGGCCTGGAGCTCCCCGGTTCTCAGTCCCCGAGGATGCTCCTGCTCTCGTGGCCAGGTTACCCCCACGTGGACCATCAAATGGGGCTGAGGTGAGCAATGCTACCATGAATTGTGTCTGACTCCATTACTTGACTCTATCTTTTACCTCTCATGCTCTCTATGACTTTACTATAATCTCTACTTATTATCGCTGTACAATTGCACCTACTGGATCTGTGATGATTTGTGGGGTATACCTCTGCCCCTTAACCCCACACCCCAGGAACTCTCTGTATCCAAGCTAACACCCTGTGTGGTAGTTGCGTAAGTTCATGTCAACTTGATAAGTAAGTGTAGGGGTGGAGTCTAGCCTGTCCATCAAACAGCCTGATGATAGCTCCTTGTGTGTGTGGCCTTCTCATAAGGAGTCTAGGAACTCCCTCTCTTTCTCTCTGGAGGGCAGGCCACACTCTCTCTGCTTCACCTTCCTGTTGACAAGCCACGTGGAGCCACACTGAGACCTGCGAGAGCCCTGAGATGCTTCCACGACTGCCACTGGATCCACAAGACTTTCTACCCACCAGCCTGTGATCTTCCTGCATTCAGCATTATTGCATGAGCTGCGTGAGTGTGAAGAGGAATTTATGGACTAGTATTTGATTTATGGCCTAATATCGGACTTATGGACTTGATCTGGACTGGGCTGGGATGTTTTCTTAATATACAATTGCTCTTTGATAGAAAGCTCTTTCTTACACATATACTAGTGTCTCTGGATTTGTTTCTCTAGTCAACCTGTTGTAACACACACTGTGACACCAGTCTCCCCACATGAAACAGCTGTGCTCTGATAGTGACCTGAGAAAGACACACTCACGCGCAAGTCATACACCCAGAGAAAGACGCTGCATTACATCAACAATGTAATGAGAATGAAGTGAGAAACACAAGAAACAAACGAAGGAAGAAATATGAAGAAATGGCACGACTGCTCTGAGCCCGGAGAGGGCCCTCAAGTCCCTTGGAAGGTGGCCTTGGCTCCCTATGCCCTTGGGCTGGAGAGAGGGAGAGGGAGGGGAGAGAGAAAGAGAGAGGAGAGAGAGTTCTAGTTAAACAGGCCCATCAAGTCAGCAGGCCTCTTCTTTGTAAACTCATGGGTTAGCAATTAGAACCCTGGTGGCAGAGTGGATTCGGGTTGGGCTGCTAACTGCAGTTCAAGACCTCTAGCTGCTCTGAGGAAGAAAGACAGGGCTTTCTACTCCGGTAAAGAATCGCCCGCTCAGACACTCACAGGGGCAGGTCTACTCTGGCCTACAGGGTTGGCAGCGACTCGATGGCAGAGAGTGAGATAGGTTAGGGATTCGGAAACCGTTCTAGAGCTGCGGAGAGAGGGAGCACAAGGAACTGAACTGCATGCGCTCAGTGGTTGTGAAGACTGATGGACAGACACAGAGACATGAGTGGGGCACACACCTCAACACACACACTGTATTTCCAAAGTATATGCACATACCTCCACCTCCCAGCTGTGGGTCCTGAGAGGCTCAGGACCAGATGCCAACCTAGGCCCTGGATCCCAGGCTCTAAATGCCATCCTCTCTGAAAGGAGCCTGGCCCCTTGTGGAGCACACATGCCAGAGCAGGTGCAGGCACGGGCAAAATAAACCGGGGTATCTTCTTGTGCCAAAAAGTCAGTGAGGGCACCAGGGAAGAGGGACCAGCACAAGGGGCTTCCATTGCCCAAAGGTGGGGCCTGGGGGAGAAAGGAGTATAGCAAGAACGACCTACATAAAGAGGATCAGAGAAAGTTCTTCCAGGGAAAGGCCGGCAATAAACGCAGAAGCACTTGTAAGCTGGTCAGGAAGGCAGCTGATGCTGGAGCTGGGGGAGGAAGAGGGGGTGCAGGTGGTCGTACAAAACCTTGCTTATGGAGGGCAGAGCAGCCCTCCAGTGAGGAAAAGAGCTGCCTGCTGCACAGGGCCTCCTTGGTGTTCCTGCTGAAATGCAGGCTGAACCTGATCCGGAGGAAAGGCCACAGCAGGCCAGAGGGAGGGAGGGACAGGCACAAAGCAATCACCCACGCGGCCTCTTCAGAACCAGTGCGGCGACACCCAGAGGCATGGCACTGGGTGGCTCACAGCCCTCACTGGGCAGCTGGGGGTCTGAGTAGTCACACTGCACCCCATCCACTGTGCCTTTGGGGATTAGAGCGTCCTTATGCAAGGAGTCCTGGCGGCAGCACATCAGTTAAGCACTCGGCTGCTAACCCAGAGGTCGGTGGTTCAAGCCCACCCACAGCTCTGTTCCGCCAGGAACTCAGTAAGGAGTGCGGCCCAGGAAACCCCAGAGGCTCACGCGACGCGCTGCACAGGGTGATCGACACCAGACCTCTTCAGAGTATGGAAAGGTGTGGAAAAGCACGGATGTCCCCGTGAGGGCTACGGGGCGCCTGACCCAAGCCCGATGTCTTCAATCGCCTCCCGGATCCTGAACAAGCGAGATCGGAGATGGGCAAGGGCACTAACTGGGGGGATTCTACTTCGTTCATCACCAAAAGGCTGGCCAGCGTCCGGATTCGAACTTCCCGCCCCAAGAACGCCCAGTGCCAGCGCAGGCCAGGAGCCCAGCCGTTGCCCTGGAAACCCCACCTCTGCGCACGCGCACGCTTTCCGCACGGCACCAGGTCTCTCCTCCCTTTGGAACTTTAAAAAAATAAAACCCTAGCGCGGCGGGATACAGCCAGCGACCCAACGTGCTGTCGAAGGACTCCGCTACGCTCGCTCTCCGCCCCGGGGCCGGGATCCCTCCGCCGCCCTGCGGCCTGCGCGCTTCTCGCCGACTTCACGCTCGAAACGGCTTCCCGCGCCGCGCCCCACCCCCACCCCATGCCCACTCCAACCCCCAGCCCGGCTTACCTGCCGCCCGCGTCTCCATGGCAACGGCCCCACCGCGGAGGAAAAAAAGCCTCGGGCTCTTATAGGTCCCCTCCCGTGCCTACCGAGAAGACGGGGTGACCCGCTGATGCTCCGGTTTGTATTTTTATTTTTTTAAGAAAAGAGCCAGCAAGGTTATGGCGAATCTGCGGCATCCAACATGGCGGATGGAGTCTTCGCCCTCCTCTCCCCGGAGCGCTGACGCCGACGTAGCGGACGTCAGCTTCGGCTGGCCCTCCCACAGCGCACCGCGCGGCCGCGCTCGGCCGGGACTCGGCGCAGGCGCACATTGGGCGGCCGTGCGTTTTTTTTTTCCCCTCCTTGGCAGCCGGTTCTCAGGGCTCCCACGCGGGCTTCCAGAGTGCGGGTCTGAAGACTTAAGAGGCCGCCCGGCTCCGCCCCGAACCGGCTTCTCCCAACCCACCCTGGGCCCACCTGTCATGGAACCTGCGGGACCAGTCATGGAAGCATTGCCCTTACTCGGGTCCCGACCTCCCTGACCTTGCCCCCTCTGTCGGGTTGTCACCACTGCCGCCACCCCCAAGTTCTGGGCTTCAGCGTTGCTGGCTCCGCCTCTGTCGTCGCCCCTCTTGATTTAATTTGGCACCAAATGCTGACCTCACTGTTGAGAGATTCGATTCCGACTTACGGGGCCCATGGTGGCCCGGTGGCTCATGCAAGGTCAGCAGTTCGAACCCATGAGTGAACTCCCTTAAAGAGTTGTTGCTATTAGGTGTTGTTAGCGACCCTGTGTGCACCAGAAAGAAACACTGCCTGGCCTTGTGCATCCTCACAAGTGTTACTGTGTGTGCACCCACCCATGCGAGTCGTTTGACCCCCAAAGGGGGTGCGACCCACAGGTTGAGAACTGCTGTCCTATAGAGTCACTATGGGACTGTGAATTATAATTGATTCAACAGCAGTGAGTTTAGGGATGGGGGAGCAAAGAGGTTGCTTGGGGGGGAGGGTTTTGTGTCTTGGCCACCCCTTTAGTCCCAGAACCTGGAGCTGATCTCAACCCTTTCTTTTTATTATTATTAGTCATCGTTTTATTGGGCGCGTTTACAGATGTCATAACATTCCATAACTGAAATATATTGAGCATACTTGTACAATTGCTACTACAATCAGTCTCAAAACATTTTCTTTCTTCTGACACAACTATTTCTTGACGAAATGGTACAGCCACGGTGGAACATGGTGTTTCGGTTCTTCAAGGAACTGAAAACAGCTACCTGTTGTTTGTTGTGGTTGTCAGGTGCCATCACGTCAGGAGTGACTCACCGTGGCTCTACATGCAACAGAATTTCAAGGAGAATAAAGTTAAATCAATGTTAACTGCTGTTGAGCTGCTGGTTCTGACTCAGCGACCCCACATTCAACGGAACAAAACATTGGCAGGTAGTGCACATGCATTAAATACGTAGAAGTAAAAGGAAAACAGACGACCATAGAAAAGGGACTGCCTGTCACGCTGCAGTCAGGCGGGTTTGCCGTGCCGACTCTTCATCGAAACTGTAGGGCAGTTTAGAATCACCCCATTGGGTTTCTGAGCCTGTAAATCTGGTCAGGGATTGCATCTTGGATTTACCATCAGTAGTCATGGAAATTGCTATCAAGAAATCGATGGATGGATAGATTGACTGGGTGCTTCTGCTGCACAAGATTTCTTCAAAAGTGTTGAAGAGCAAACATGGCACTGTGAGGACGACTGTCTGCCTGGCCCAGCCTGTAACCACTGTGCCACCAGGGCTCTGTTCTGCACCATTAGGTCACTTTTCCTGCAATGAACACATCCCACTCCACCCACCCCTCACTTCCTGCTTACAGGCCCCTGGGTGGGTGGAAAGCATGAACTTGCTAGTCAGAAAGTTAGAGGTTCCAGGCTCCCCGGAGACCCCTCAAGAAAAGCCTGCATATTTCCTTCCTAAAAACCCGCTCCGAAAGCCCTGCAGAGTACGGTCTGAGCCGACACACCGGAGGCCTCCAGGTGTCAGAGGCCAAGTGACAGATGATAGCTGGCCAGGTCCCCCAGCAGGATGGAATGCTCCTTGAAGAAAACCTGAAGCTGTAGTCTGTACCTGCTCCTACTCTGGGTCACACTCATCCTGCTCCACCCCGCCCGCACCCAGGAGCGCCCAGTCAAGATCTCTCCCTCTAGACCAGGAGCTTCCAGACACAGATACAAGAGAGGCCTCTTTGGCCTTCCTGGTCCCAAAGCCTCTACCAAGGTCACACAGTTGGGTCACTGAGAGAGCACAGGTGCTTCCTGTACCACTTATTTTTCAGTCCTAAATCCCCTGGGCCCGGAGCTTCCGGATGGCTCATCTGATTTCCCAGAGCCTTTCTACTTTGCTCTTTAATCCTCTTCTTGGAAAAGACGTCAAGACATAACATTTCCTCTGCTCATTAAGGTTCCCTCGTTTCAACCTAATGATGTGAGGGATTACATGGAACACATTTGACTTTCTCCCCACCCCCACCCCCCATGAGAAAAGGAATGTTCAAGTGTTCAGAGAGGTTTGGGGGCTTCCTGAGAGTCACACAGGCCGCCACTGTGGTCTCTCAGGGCCCGCTCCTTCCCAGGTAACCACAAACACAACAAACTCAGGGCCATCGAGTCAATGCTGGCTTACAAGGGCAAGGTAGAACTGCCCCTGTGAATTTCCGAGACTGTCACTCTTGACACGGGTAGAATGCCCCGTCTTTCTCCCAGGATGTCCCCAAGCTGCGCAGGAGACCCTCTCAAAGAGCCACCCTCTAAGACATCCACAGAGTCATGGCTTCACACTGGCCACACTGCCCACCAGAAGACCGGGGGCCAGGCAGAACCCATCACAGGGTGTGTGTGACCCGGAAGCAAACTACTCAGAAAGTGCCTCCTTAGAAAACCATGCATCTCCGAGAAATCACTCCTCCTGCACATCCTTTGCTGCCAGGAAGCCACGGTTGCTTGCCCAGAGTTGCTGACTCTGTGTAGTGACTGCCTTTCTTGCGGCAGCAGCATTTAGACACAATGTGTTGATTGGCGGATGGGCTGCTCCTGGATGTAGCGGTCCCAAAATGAATTTGGGAAGTGAAGCAACTTAAAATTCATCTCACAACCCAATTACCTCAGAATATTAAGTAAAGTCCAGAGAAGAAACGAAGGACTACGGGCAATGGGTCCAGGGTGATTCTTTGGGTCATTCTGCTTTGCTGATTCCCATTTGGACTTCCCAAGATGGGGTGACCCAGAGGCTGCAAAGATGCGCGCAAACATCAGTGGCACAGGAGTGGGCAGTGGTCCTTTGGGTCACTGTGAGTTCGAACCAACTCAACAGCACCTAAAGCAACACCGCCACCACTCACTCGCTCAAAATTCAGAGAAGAGTTGACACAACCATTCCCTGCAGAGTCCCAGCGGTGTGGATCAAGATGTTTCAGGACCTGAATCCCCCTGGGCCTTGCTGAATGGCTTCCAGGTCACTCACCAACCATGCTAAGTCTCCACTCGCCAGTTTGCCTTCCGAGGATGAAGAAGCATTAGTGGATTTAAGCGTTAATTGCTCCCACAGATTATATTATCAACAGCACTCCACATCCAGGAGGGTCCCTAGAGAAGATCAGCTTCCCAGGGGGCATATCAGGAATAAGATCAGCTTCCCAGGGGGCATATCAGGAACGGTCAGCCTCCCACAACCTCCTCATGCACAAATCCGCACCAGTAAGTGTATCACCATGAGGTAGCATTCGGTGACATGCTGAGAACAACTGAATGCCATCCTGCCACTTTGATAACACTACTCAATGGTTCTGTGGTAAATACGCACTAGCACGCCCAGAGGATGATGTGCATACACACTTCAATCAGATGCCTGCGCTGACAGCTAGCCCAGAGAGAGGATAAAATTTTTAATGGTCCTTGAAGGAAACAGCAAAGATAAAACCAGAGGTGGGGGTGATCACAGCCTAAGTGTTCAACTAAATCCGCAGTGTACTGAGGGATTGAGCTAGCCACCAGTGTTTACAGGGTGTAGTTGTATGACTCAAACCCACTGCCATCAGGGCCATTCTGGTTCATGGTGACCCTGTAGGACAGAGTAGAGCTTCCCCTTGGGATTTCTGAGACTAAATCTCTATGGGAGCAGCAGGCTCATCTTGGTCCTGCAAAGTGACTGGTTGGGTTTGAATCACTGACCTTTTGGATAGCAGCTCAAGGCATAGCTCATGACACTAGGGTCCCTGGTAGTATTGAGTTGTGTATATGCATGAAGACATAATAAGATTATGGGTTTGCTTTAAGCACTTGTCCTACCTGCTTCAGCCACTCTCATCTGCCCCCGCCCCCAAATAGCCTTTGCCGTCTTATGATCATGCATCTACAGAAAGCGAGAGAGAAAAGAAGCTTGAGGCAATCGTGTCTCCATTCCAAAGATACTTATGCATCAACAACTATGTGTCCTGTAGGGTCGAGATAACTTGAAGGCAGTGAGTTTGGAGTTTAGGGTCTGTGTGTCTGTCAAGGAGCCTGGCAACCCTGGCTACTCACAAGGTCAACGGTTCAAACCGACCAGACAGTCCTCAGAAGAAAAGTGAGGCTGTCTGTTCCCATCAAAAAGCTCAAGGTAGGGTTGCTATCTTGGTGGCAGTGGGCTTCTGGGCTAAAGTCAAACTCGTGGAGCCATGGATGGGTACATCCAGCAGCCACTACATGCCTTCTGTCCACTGCAGGGCCAGCTGGATGCAGTCTTGCCACCCAAATATTGATCTCAAACGATGTGCTAAGGAGCCCTGGTGGCATAGTGGTTAAGCACCTTGCTGCTGGCCTCTCAGCAGCTTCCTGGTGCCTCACAAAGAGCTCAGCCTCGTTCTACTCTGTCCTGCGGGGTCACTGAGTCAGGATCACCTTAAGGGATGCCACTGCCAAACCAGTGCTTCTCGCCATCAGATCCCTTCCAAAGGAGCGGCTGCCATGTTTGGACGCAGGGGGAACCAGGAGGAGGCTGAAAGGCCCAGCTACTGTCAGAAAACCAAGGAAAGCCCTCTGGGCTGGGGTCAAGAGAGCCACTGGGAAGAGCATCCCCCTGGCCAGCTTGTGGGAGCCTTCCTATACCAGCAGAATCTCTGAAAAGCCCGGAGTCCTTCGTGACACTCAAAAAAAGAAAGCTGATGATACGCTTGCAAAGAAACACAGACAGGGGTCCTTGGTCCAAACAACCAACCCCCAAATTCACTGTCACCCTGTTGATTCTGACCCCTCTCGATAATTCAGAGAAATGACAAGTAACAGCATGTTTTTGTAAGGAGGTACACTGGCCCATCGAGGGTTCTGTTTCTGACTTGGATTCGGTTCGTCTGCATAAGTTGAGAAGGGCAGACAAAGGAAGCAGGAGCAAGCCAAATATTCCCAGGCCTTGTAAGAACTGTGTCGAAGCCAAGGGGGCAGGCTAGGACCAGTTGGGGTTGGACAGACCAGGTGGACAGAGCGGGTTCACCAGCCCGGATTGCAAGGTAATGGATTAACCCAATGTCCAGGAAGAATAGATGATAGATTAAACTGCTGTGTGGCCCCACTCCTGATAAAGATGGGTTAATAAAGTTAATCATAAATGGAGGTCAAGCTTTAGGTACACACAGGTGAGGGCAGCAAGTGCACTGAGAAAACTCATGAGCCTGGGCTGGGAGAGAGAGCCCAGACAGGGAATGTCCAGTCTAGTAAGTCACCTTGGAGAACGTGGGGTCCAATCCCAGAATTCACCGGCCCAGAGGCTGCCATTCAGTGTGCCTGGGAAGTAGATCACTTTGGGTCTGAGAGTGACAGTCCTGGAAAAGTACCAAATAAGTTCCAAAAATTAAATCTATACTAGCGGGGTTCCCCCCTCCCCAACAACATTGACATAGAGTCACAGTGATTTTTCCCAAGGTGCTTGAGACCAAAGACCCAGACCGCATTGAAAGCCAAACCGTTTGGCCTTGAGAAGATTCTCCCAGGCCTGGCAGCCTGGCCGTGGCTCCAAGGGGGTTTCTGGAGCAATCTCCAGGACTTTTTTCTGCAGCACCTCGGATGCCTTTGATCCAGCAGCCCATCCATTAATCAGACTCGATGGCAGTGGGTTTGAGTCATACCACTACACCCTGTCAACACTGGTGGGGTGGCTCTAGCCCTCCCTACACTGCTGGTTTAGCTTGACCCTTGGCGCTGTGATCACTCCCCACCTCCGATTGTGTCTTTGTTCTTTGCAGCTTGGTCGCTGGCTCTGTGTCTGCCGTTTCCTTGAAGGACCATTACTTTGGCATTCTCCCTCTCGGCTAGCGTCAGCGAGGGCGTCTGAGAGAAGCGTGTATTACACATCATCCCATGGGTAGGCCTGGCAAAAGCGGGGTACGATTTTAAGGAGATTTGACTTGTCACGTTCTGGATTTTAAAAATAAGAATAATCAGCTGCCACTCATGTTCACATGGATTAGAACACACGTTCCTGGATTCCGGAGTGGAAGGAACTGGTTTCCGGCCAACCGCAAGCTGCAGTCACTACGCCACTGACACAAGCGGGTACGGGTGGCCATGGACCCCTCTTAAAGCAGCTGGGGGAGAGCTGTCACCACGCGTCCCCAGGGCTTCGGCCTTTGTGTTAGGTTGGGTTCCCCAGAGCAGCAAAGCCAGTGATGCCTCGATGGGTCGAACCGCTGACCCTCTGGCTGGCAGCCTGTCACTTAATCCACTGTGTCCCTGGAGCTCCTGTCTTGTAAGCAGAGAAGGTTTGTTGATGAAGAAAGAAGACAGGGCTGAGGTCTGCGAGGTCGATGAGACCTGTGAGGAGACGCCCCTGACAGGAACAGCAGCAGGGGACCCAGGGCCAGGGCCGGTCCAGAAGGACCTGGCCCTGAAGGGGGTGCGCGGGACAGGCCGGGTCGGCAGGGTGAACGGGTTTCCCAGAAGAAATCCCTTTCCGATCCCAAGAGCCCACTCTGCTCTTGGTTCACCTGTCGGATGCGCTGACCACACACCTCAGTTTGGGGGTCAGACACACGGTCGCTGGGCAGAGCTGCTGCCAAAGGGGCCGAAGTGACATGGAATACAGCACATGGTCATTGTGGCCTGGCCCTTTCAGGACAGGGGTCCCACGGCCTTCACCACCATTGCTGCATGGGGAGGAAGCACAGCAGTGAGGAGCTGCCTTCTGGTGGCCAGAGGCTGGCGGAGAATAAGAGGGGTAGAAATGACTCTCCCAAGCCCACACAGTCACCCCACAGCCCCATGCCAGAAACCAGGGCTGCAGGCAGGTCCCCTCGCTCATCCGCTCCCTCCAGATCCAGAGACTGGGTCCAGGGAATAAGTGCCAAGTGGGAGAATCCTTGCCTTCCAGGCTGGAGACCTGGCTTCCGCGGACTCCTGGCCGGTGCCACCGCTGTCTGTCAGCAGGGGTTAGCACGCTGCTGTGGTGGGTCCCGCACAGGACCAGCTAGTCCTTGGCCCTGTCCTGCCTGGGGGCCACCACAAATTGGCGATGGGCTCCCTGGCAGTCAGCATCTTGAGCAGTGTCCCAGGGGCACGTACAGAAATGCAGGTGGGCCAGGGCGAAGGGCCGCCTCGTGCCGGGGCTTAGGCCAGACGCCAGTGGAGGGCCACAAGTCGTGCTCCCTGCAGCCTGGTCCAGGTCTGTGCCTCCTCCCGGCATGATGGTCTGCTCACACTGCTGGGCTCTGCTCAGCCGCAGGGCACTCTGTGACCGCAGGCTCCCCTGAGCATCCCATGAGCATCCGCTGAAGGCCAAAGCCCAGTTCGAGCAGTCAGCTGCTTCGCTTCTGGCAGTGAGCTTACATTCGGCTGCCAGCTGGGTGCCTCCGCCTACTCCCCAACCCCCCACCAGCCTCCATCACCCAATGCCAGTATGAGAGGAAAGACTTCCTGCTCTAAGGTAATTCTCAGCGGGGCATCTCAGCAGCAAACAGGAGCAAGACCGGGCTGCTGGGAGGGTCAGCCGCTGCGTTAATCCAGGTAGACTAGAGAAACAAATTTATTGATACTCATATGTGTATAGGAAAGAGCTTTATGTAATATAAAAGAGCAATTGTATATTGAAGAAACAACACAACCCAGTCCATACATCTAACATTAGTCCCTGTATCCCATAGTGGTCCATAAATTCCTCTTCAGACTCACACAGCACATGCAATGATGCCGAATGCAGGAAGATCACAGACCACTGTGGGTGGAAAGTCTTGTGGATCCAGTAGCAGTGGTGGAAGCATCTCAGTGCTGGCGTGGGTCTCCACGTGGCTCCTCCAGCTCCAGGGCTCTGGCTCTGTTAGGTTTCTTGGGTGAGAAATACCTCGGTCCTTGGCTTTGCACAAGAAAGAATTCATGCCGAAGCCCTGGTTTGTGATCCAAGTGGGTTTTCATAAAGGATAAAAGCAGTTTCAGGCGTTACAATAAACTGAACGCAAGCCAGAGAGAGAGATCACGGCCAGGCCAAGAGGAACCGCAGAGGAGCAGCTGGGAAAGAGGGCCATGGTCTCAAAGTTCCAGCCTTTTTAGGGCCTTCCGCTGGGAGGCGTGGTAGATGGTGCTGGTTGACTCCATTGGAGGAATTAAGCCCACCTGGATGTACCGCCCCTTCCTGGCTCAGAGCCTGAATTTGGAGCATGCCCAGTAGACACCCTGGTTCTGTTCCGGAGGCTACCTAACAGCTCCATCAGTGTGTCTCCATGTGTCTTGTCAGCAGGGAGTGTGTCCCACCTCCAGGGAGGAAGACAGGAGTTCCCAGAATCCTCAGGAGAAGGCCATGCCCACACAGAGGCCTCATTGGCTACTACCTGATTGATGGGCTAGACTCCACCCCTTCTCACTCAAGTTGACAGGAGGTGATGTGAGGGCCACAGACACATGGGGGAAATGCAAGTTCTGTTCCAGCTGGAAGCAAAGCCGCAGGAGAATCCGTGTGCTTGAATGATGGTGTGGGCCAAGAGTACTGAAAGTACTGCAGGCCTGCCAACGAAGTACAGCCAGTCTTCCTTAGAAGTGAGGGCGGCAAGACTTTGTCTCGCATACTTTGGACATGTTGTCAGGAGAGACCAGTCCCTGGAGAAGGACATCATGTTTGGTACACTAGAGGGGCAGTGACAAAGAGGAAGGCCCTGGACAAGGTGGATTGTCACAGTGGCTGCACCAACGGGATTAAACATAATAACAATGATGAGGATGACACAGGACTGGTAGGAGTTTTGTTGTTTTGCTTTTTAAGACTCACCATCAAGTCAATTCCAACGCATAGCGACCAGTTCAAACACTAATGGGCGGATGGGGTGACCTCACCTGGCCTTAGTCTCAAAGCAGATTCAGAACATGAGCTTCCCTACTAGGTCGGACCATTAAAGAGAGAATGTCCCACAGCCTTTCTGAATGAACATGAAATGTGCACTCGAGAGTTTGGATGAAGGATTTGTGTGGATCAGCTTATCAGCGGGTGGGTGGACATCTTTATTTTATCCTATGAAATGGTCAAGGTAATAACTTTATGTAACTAGATTCATGTTTACAGCACTCTGGGGAGAAAGAAAAAAAACACAAACCAACTTGAGGGAAGAAATCACTGGGCCTGAGGGCTCAGGACCATACCCTCGGAGGACACCAGACAATGGTCTACATCCTTATGACTGGGGTGTTAGAAGCTTGGGAGCAGCCCTCTGAGGTGCAGTGACTGGTCTCTGGAAGCTCAGAAGGAAGAGGAGCGATGAAAAGGCAAAGACGCAGACGAGCTCATCAGGGCGCAGAGCAGCAACGATGAAACATGTAACTTTCCTCTAGTTCTTAAATGCTTCTCCCCCCCCAATATCATGATCCCAATTCTGCCCTGCAAATCTGGCTAGACCAGAGGATGTACATTGGTACAGATAGCAACCGGAAACACAGGGAACCCAGGATAGATGACTTCTTCAGGACCAGCGGTGAGAGGGGCGAGGCCTGGAGGGTGAAGGGACTGTGGGGTAGAAGGGGGGAACCAATGACAAGAATCTAAGTATAGCCTCCTCCCTGGGGAATGGACAGCAGAGAAGAGGGCGGAGGGAGACGTCAGACAGGGTAACTTATGACAAATCTATAATAATTTATGAATTATGAAGGGTTGAGGGGGAAGGGGGAAAATGAGCAAACGATATTGAGGGCTAAAGTAGAGGGCAAATGTTGTGAGATTGATGAGGGCAACAGGTGTACATATGTGCTTGACTCAGTGGATGTATGTATGGACTGTGATAAGAAATGTACGAGCCCTCAATAAAATAATTAAAAAGCAAAAGACGCATAGAAACATTGAGTCCCAGGGACCAAAGGCCATGTGGACATCACTCCCTACACCCAAGACCAGAAGAACTAGATGGTGCCCAGCTGTCACTACCAACTGCTGTGGAAAGGGGCCCATTATAAAGGGCCTGGATAGAGTGAGAATAATGTGGAGCAAAGCTGAAAAATCATAAAAAGAGACCAGGTTTACTGGTTGGATAGAGCCTAGTGGGATGACCAAAGACGATGGTCCTTAGTGTAGAACTGGACTCACCAGTGGTCATATAATCAGCCAGTCAACCACCAAATTTAGACACTGAGGGGGAGATGGGGGAATGAAACAGTAAAGAGGTGGGCTTCGTGATGGTACATTCAGAAGACAGCCATGGAGAAGTCGAAACAAAATGGTGTGGCTTTTTCAATGTAAAATGTGAGCTTTTCTGCAGGCCTTCACCCAATTCACAACAAAAATAAAGAAATAAACTTGTGTCAATGAAGAGCCTGGCCTGTTCTTCAGTGACCCTGAGCTCCATGCAAAATGGCCCAACATTCCAGGGCTTTAAAACAACCCCCATTGATGATTGCAGCTCCGCTGCCTGGGGTTGGCTGGTCTAAGTTTGTGTCGGCTGACCTCGGTTGAGCTCAGCTGGTCTTAGCTGCGCCTGCTCAGGTGAGCCCTGGGATAGGGACGCCATTCTAGCCTGGGTTTGGCTGCGACACCTTAGACTTGGCTTCACCTTCCTTCTGGGACAGCACGTCAGCCTAGGTGTGTCCTTCTCTGAGTGACAGCAGAATCACAAACAGGCAAGCAGACATGATGCCAAGGGTCTTTTCCAGGTCTCTGCCAACATGCCATGGATGGAAGCAAGTCACGTGGACAAATGCAGAATCGAGGGGCAGGAAAATACAATCTGCTTCTTCATGGGAGAAGATTGACAGTCACATGGCCAAGGGTACACGGCCATTCTTCCCTTCTCTACATAGCTGTGCTCCAAAGTCAGGGACATTATGCAAAACTCAGCAATGTGGGAAAACGGAAGCTGAATACATCAGATCACAACAGGGAGTTGTGACTACACCACTACAAACTCCAAACTCACCCCCATCAATCCAGTCCCTCCTGACTCATAGCTACCCCATAGGACAGACAGGAACTGCCCCTGTGGGTTTCCGAGGCCGAAAATCTTCACAGTGGTAGAAAGCCTCACCTCCCCCCACCTCGCCACCCCTGAGTGACTGGCGGTTTTGAACTGCTGACGCCATCATTACACCACTACCAAACCACAGAGCTGCATGGTCCAGACAGGTTGACACAGAACCTGGACCGGCACAGACAGCAAGGCCCTTGCCTTGACCTTGGAGTGCATCCCTGCCAGACAGACATGGCCCTTCATGCACAGAGTAGCCAAGCAGTGACGTTTTTGCTGTTTTTGTAAATGTGGGATGACAGGTGTCAGGAGATGGTCGTGAGTAGCTGTGTCCCCATAAGGGGGAGTGAAACTTCAGGCCTCTAATGCCACCCAGCACACACCCCATCATGCCCCTGTGGGGAAAGCCCCTGCAGAGCCCCTGCAATACTCTACAAGTTGGGGCCCTGGGCCAGTCCTCCGATCCGGCTCCGTTTTTCCCTTGTGGGAAGCAAGCGTGCAAAGGTCTTGTATGCTGAGGCTGGAGTGATTTCACAGATGGGCATTTTTCCTCCGGAAAGACTGTAAGCTGTGTTTCTCCCCCCCGCAGCTCCCATGCCTCATTAGGATTTCCATTTTCTCCAGCGACAGTTTAGACCAGTTCAAGTTGGCTGCTCTCTGGCACTGCCCACTTCCCAGAGGGGCCTGCCTGCCCAGTCGGTCTGCGGCCCTGCCCTTTGAACCTCAGCACTGCTGACCCCTGTGTCAGGGGGAAGGGAGAGGCGAAGCCTGGCTGGCAGGAGACCGTTGCAGATGAAACCTGCCCTCTGTCCCCAGCGGCAGAGGGGAGCAATGCCCCAGTAGGACTCCCCCCGCGGAGCAGGCTTCAGCTCAGCTCTCATGAGCACCTATGTTCTTTTCAACCCCTTTTGCTGTGAATGAGGTGAAGGCTTACAGAGAAGAGGCAGTTTTGCGTTCTTCCGCATCTCCTTGATCCTTCATTTTCAGCCTTCTCTATTCGCGGTCCGGGTGGCATTCCTATGGGCTGATTTTAAAGACCACGCCTTGGGTCAGGAGCATCTTGATCCCCCATTGGCTCTGAAGATCTCGTCATCAATATCCCTCCATTGGTAGATCCTTTCTTG